TTAAGTATGGGTGGAAACACTTCCTTTCAAAGCAGGTGAATTTGTATGTATCAAGCATTCTAGATCTTTCGAAAAGATTATCATTAAAAATAACTGTATCTCCCATTGTGGAAGAAAGTCAGTTCTGCATTGATTCATAAAGAACTATAAATGTGACAAGTTCGACCGATCATGATTGACAATGCTAGCACCATATAATGTAATTTATGTATACATGTATATACTCGCGTTGTGCTTTTTGGGGGAATTGTAGGTTACAATGTAACAGGTTATATCAGAGAATTTTATATTTCTATTTATAAGAAATATGATGTTGGAGGTTTCCCTACTCTTGGTTGCTGGACTTTCAGTGAGAGTTGATGGATACAGGGAGACGTTCCAAAGGCCCTTTCAATGTAACCCAAACACGGTAAGTAGAGATTTCAAACAGAATGTTTTTGGACAAATTGTTTAATGATGTCACATTTTTTTTAATTTACTGACTAGGCCCAGGTCTCGGACAGTTTTTATTTGGGTTTGAAGTTTAATATAATTATTTTTAAATCATTTGTAAAAAAAAAATTGAAAAAATGAAAAGATATAAAGGTATATTCAAGGAAATTTTTTAATTTTTAAATAAATAATTTTAAAATGAGAAGCCGAAAATTTATTGCATTAAATTTAATGATGAATACAAAATATCAATATTAAAACATGATACATAATACTAGAATTAAAAGGTAAAATGACTATTATTATTTTAGCTATGGATCACGCCGGACTACAGCTTTATCAAGTTTCATTTTTTTTTAACTAAAACTTTCAATTCACCCATTACGTTTTGGTCTAGAGAAAATGAAATTGGAGCAACAGCAAAACCGAGAAATTATACACAGGAATTATGCAACGAAAAGCTTAATTGAAAAAGCAAACTTGGCATCGTATATGTGTAGGACTCCAAAGTGCAATGGGACTCCAAAGTCCGAAGGTCCCGCGAATTCCCGATGGTCTGACACGCCAAAGTCCGTTGGTGCGGAAATCAATCGACGTTTATAACGTCATAGTACCACTGCACCAAACCGCAATGCCGCGCTATGCCAAATGCGAAAACTAACCTTTATCTCTCAGCTAGGTGCGAGACTAACGCTCGAAAATTGTGTATTAACAATAACCTAGATATATTGGGTGGGAGCAAGACTAACCCTAATCACTCGACTATAGTGTGCGAGGACTAACCCCAAATCTCTCGGGTTGTGCAATACAATGACTAAACTTAATCCATCGAGTGTTGTGCTAGGACTAACCCTAATATCCCTGGAAAGTGCAAGCAATAAGCAAAGTCAATAAAATTGTATTCGAGGACAAATTCAGAAATGATGCCTTTTGAATGCAGGACAACGGCGTCAAGGATTGACGTCGGATTACTGTGACGTCATAAACGTTGATTGTTCCTCCGCACCATCAGACTTTGGCGTGTCAGACCATCGCACAGACCAGCACAACGTGTCTCATAGGAAACGAGCCATCGGACTTTGGCGTGACTATCGGACTTTGGCGTCCGTAACGACAGCGAGCCATCGGGGTTTGGCGCAGACCATCGGGCTTTGGCGAGATCATCGGACTTTGGCGTCACCATCGCAATTTGGAGTCTTACATATGTATGGATTTTATTGAAATAACGACCAATTCTTGTTTGTACATAAAATCAGCTCAATTGTTTATTATGACATAAAAAAAGGAAAAGAAACTTAAGAAGGAAAGAAATATAATGTTTAGCCAATTAAATATCCCCTCACCCATTCAAAGAAATTATTTTAAAAAAAAATAAATGAAATATATATTAAATAGAGGTTGACAGAAAATAATGACACATTTAAAATTTGAGTAAGTCCAGAGAAGATCAAGATAATGAAGATGATGATACAACTCTGATAAATATTTCTTTCGATGCCTTGATTTAAAATGTGTAAACCACAACAGGGAAACTCTTTGATTTTTTATCATATGAGACTTACATTTACTTCAATGTACATGCCAAGTCTAGGCAAAATCTAATTCACAATTTATAATAAATGATGAGACATGCTATATTGTACATTATATGTAAGAAACACAAAATTCTACCTTCATGTTTCAGAAGAAGGCATCTGAAAATGTCAAAATTAATTAATTTTCATTGTTTTTATGGAGTATTACATGTATAATTTAAATGACAGATGAAACATATGGAAATAACTAACAGTATTCAAGATCAAAGGTCCATAAAACAATACAAAAAAGGGGCACAGCAAAAACGGACCTAAAAAACATCAGAGGTTGGATCAGGTGCCATGGAGGAGCGAGTGTCCCCTGCCGATCGGTCATACCCGTTTTGTGCTCCTTGTCATGATCGGGAAATAACGAAATAATCCGTCAACAATTCAGTGTACAAAAATGGACTAAGTATTAGTATGATAAACGTCAGTCATCATTTGACTCAATGATAACTTGTATTTGCTGACAAGATCATTGTATCGACCACAGAACTTACGAAATGATGACTTTAAACGAGACTGCTGATATTCTTGTTTCAACAACTTGTTTGTCAATAATTTACCTTGTTTTAGAAATTGTTCGTACGCAGATCATGCCCGTGCGTATTGAATCAACTAAAATACATAAACTCCGTATGCAGGTGATGAAGGTATATTGCTGCATAAGTAACTGAAGTAACGATAGAATGTTAAAATCATCAGGTAGAGCTTGGTTGTTAGATTACGATTAATGCAAAATATCCAAAATAAAATCGTATGCAGGTGATGAAGGTATATTGCTGCATAAGTAACTGAAGTAGACGATAGAATGTTAAAATCATCAGGTTTATCTTAGAGCTTGGTTGTTAGATTACGATTAACGTCTTTTTTCAAGCAAAATATCCAAAATGAAACAGATATGTCAGACTCTGTGGTACCTTTGATCTCAGTCTCATCAGAATGCATGGTATCGACATAAGAATGGATATAATCATTTTTAACATACAATATGTCATCGATATACGAGGGTTGATCCAAAAGTTCATGACATATCTTCGTATTTAATTTATTTATTAGCGGAAATTGTTGAAAATTACACATGAGAATATCGACAACTGTTGAATCTTTTTAATAAAAAAATATTTTTAATATCTATGATAGAAACTTTTTGTCATTAGCCATGGAAACTGATGTTTGAAAAAGCGGGGGAGACATTAACTTGCTTTTTATCATTTTTTAAAATTCTTAATACGTGAAATGAGAAAAAAAGTATCGAATTGGTTCATAAAATGAAAATTATGTCTTTATTACGATTGCTTGACCTCTTATGAATCTTTCTCTGAAAGTTTTACTGATTCAAATGAAAATTTAGTTTACGTGTTGATGAATTATTGTTAAATCTTTAAATTGTTAGGCAACGTCTAATTTTAATCAAGTTATAAGTTTTCTGAAAATCAAGGTAATACTTTGACCTAAACGTGTATACTTCTGATATAGGCTGGAGACTGCATTAAGCAATGAACATTTAAGAAAAGTAAAACGTCCATTATAGGTACGGTCACATTTTGGAGGGTCAGTTTTTCCTCGTAGACAAATGAAGCGTTAATGAACGTTGGCCGATGACGTACTGTGCTTGACATTGCTTCTGAAACTGGGACATTATATGGAAAGATTGGGAGTATTTTTGAAATATGAGTGTAATATGAAGATAAGTCTGTGCGAGAGGATACCAAGGCTTTTCTTTAGAAGAAAATGGAGAAAAAAGCGGCATTCTGTAGAATTACTCAATCAAATTGGACAGGATGGAGATGTACTCCTATAATATGACGTGGCATACTTAACTTGACAAATAATTATTTCGAAGTCTCCCCCGATTCTATAACTATCCATTTTCAGAAAGCACGTGTGGCCTAGTTTGTAATTTGAATGTGGTGAAATTTTCCAGTTTTGTTGCATGATGACTCTATATTATAAATATGCCTTTTGTTTGCTTTTATCAAATTACGATAAAATTTAAAGCGAAATTCCGCGAACTTTTTGATCAACCCTCGTACATGTATCTATATGTCGAGTTGAAGGTCACAGCAAGTGTTTCGTCTTTTCACGCATAAGGTTTGCATAAATACTGCTTCACAAGAATACAAATATAGGTCTGCTTATAACGGGGAGCAATTGGAACCTATGATATAAAGGATTTATATACAAAAATGATTGAGAGAATTTCAAGTTCTTATGTTTAAATTTCAAGAGCTTCAACATCTTTTTTTGATATTTTATGACCCCTTCTTGAAGAGCTTCCGTTTAGCACTCTACGACGTTTATCTGCATGTCAAATGAAAAATTGTTTCTTTAAAATCAGTCATTTTTGTAATTAAGTTTTTCAAAATGTAATTTCTCAATTTTATTTTATTTTGTTAATTATGTGAATAAAAGCTGTTTTAAAACGGTAAATACACATCATTGTTCAATAGAAACTCCAGTCTGCCCCTTAATTGCGAATCCAAATTTAATCTTTTTTAAATAATTTTCATGACATTAAACACCTTTTCATGGACCCACTGGGGGTTCAGTAAAGCCACAAGACCACCTGCCTTCTATTGCGCCCCCGTTACGAAAGTCCTGGATCCGCCAATGCAGATCCCATAGTGGGATTCGAACCCACGAGGTAAGGATCAACTCGTTACTTCGCGCCTGTTTAATACAGACGCTCTAACCACTGCGCCACGCGGAAGACAATATCTTAAGTTTGAATTGATATGGTCTTATTTTCAGCCTCAACTGATTATCTACAAGTATTACTACCACCCTCCCCAAACCCTTTCCCCCATTATTTCTTTATTTTGCATTTGAGAAATATATATCTCTTTGTAAAAGATACTGATACCAGAATTGTCGCTGAAAGTAAGTTTTTTTTTCAAATATTTGAAATATTTAATAACATGGTAGAGGAAGACTACCTGAATAAATTGAGTGTATTTCTGTCCCCTTTTAAATTTTCCATTGCTTCAGATGATAACTACGGGATATCCAGCAATATCTGGTCCTAAATCTGTTAATGATCGGATTGCTGTTGTCGGAGGTGGGATAAGTGGAGTGCATATGGCTTCTCTGCTAAAGGTTAGTGAATAGAGATGTATCGTATTTTATGAATATTTTTTTAATTTAATCATGTAAATCGACGATAACGTTTTAATTTTCGCAGTTAAAAATTCATTGCAGGAGAAAGGTTACAAAAACATCAAAATATTTGAGATGCGAAACGAAGTTGGAGGAAAAGCATATTCGCGATTGCGTAGGGGCGTGTATAATGAGTTTGGGACAATCTTCTTGACTGATATTTACGATCAGGTAGCCAATATGGTGAAGAGGTATACGCCTCGATCCAGGATCAAATCCAAAGGTCTGTCATCCATAATGGTCAGAGAATTCGGTAGGTCATATCAAAAACATTTCAGTTCTAGTATATATATACACATATTATTGATATTTGTAAATTTTTTATCTTAAAGACCCAATTTTTTTTACCGTACGGTTACCTGAGGAGGGGGAGTGGTCCAAGTAACAGTGGTATTATTTACCTGGAGACCCCCAATACGCAAGATGTCAAAAATCTACATACACGTGGCATTACACAGGAAGTCTGTGACTGGTATCTGGGTCAACATTCCGTGTTTCGTGTCTAAATTTGAATGAAACTACTTGAAATAATTGAAATATTTCAATATAAAATTTATTTTTAAATACTTTCAGCGATATCTAATGAAGGAAAAAATTATAAAGAAATATCGTTTTTATATTTTAAAAAATGACAAATTAAAGAAAAGAACACAGAGTAAAACTACAAAGAAAACGTATCTTTTTTTTAATTAAACTTTTGTAAATATCAAAATAAAAAAATATTCCATTCATAGGTAGGCCTATCCGTCGTGTGAACATAATTTATACAATGTACCGTACCGCGATAGGAATATTGCCTACGTTCTGATCAACATAGTGTCGAAAATATTCACCATTTCCGGGTGTTCGTACGTGTGATTAAAATTTTTTTTGTTTGCGAGATATTTTTTTTTATACTTTTAAGAATTGATCTTTGGCTGTATATATTCATTTTTAATTTCGAATATTGGGTATTGACAGATGTTAGGAAATTCGAACTAAAAGTTACAATCTCGAAACTCGACAGCTGTTTCTGACATTTCAGAACTTTATAACGGAACATGGTATATATAGATTGTATTCATATATAAGTAGGTAAAACATCGGATAAAGGAATTTTTTATCCGTGCCGTTTGTGCTAAATATCTTTTCCTATTTTTCATATTCCAATTTTAACCGGTGTAAAGACGAATAATGACCCCCATCGAATAATGACCGGGGGGTCATTTTTCAACGACAAAAAATGACCCCCACCCGTAGAAAAAAATCATTTTTTGTAGAAAAAGGGTCCTAGGGGGTCATTATTTTATATGTTAGTCCTATAAAATAATGACCCCCATTGAAAAATGACCCCCTTTAAAGTGATACAAAATATACACTCTTTGATATCTTTTTTACAGCGAAACTAATTTTTACATTTTCTGTAACCAGAAAAATACAAAAAGTCGTATGAAATAATTAAGAGATTCACGTAGTCTTTCAATGCTAAAATTGTGTTTGAAAAGAGATTCTTTAATTGTCAAGTAAATAAAATTTCTTTTTAATATTCCTCCTTATAATGTTCGCTTAAAGAATGATATTCCACTTGTTTTTAGAAATCAAACCATGCAAAAATCAGGTTTAAGTACTCTTTAATAGGAAAAATTAAAATTCCGTCATTTCAACTTTTAGTTTGTTTAAGTTTGGCAAATCCTATTTGACAATGAAAGAGGAAGAAATTTTTATCCCCCCCCCCAAAAAAAAAAAAGAACATTACGTAAAATCAAAACAAAAAAAATAATAATAAATGAAAAGAAGAAATATAAATAAAACTCTATACCTTTCAATAATTCTGAAAGAGGCTCTAGATAAAATATTGAAATGAAGTTAAGCCTTCACACAAGTACTATCATATCATAATTTACTTCGCCATGATTAAAGCATACTTTAAATGTTGGTGGAGGTATACTTGAAAGTATTGTGGCAAAGTAACAATTAAAAATTAGTAGAATAGTAGATTATTTTTAGCTTATTTTTAATTCCTTTCTTATAGAAAAATAAAAGTAGGGTGTTTTTTTGCTCTTGTTCAATATCGACTTCCTGATAAATAAGAAAGGGGGTGGGGTAAGTATAAGACCTAAAAATATGCTCTGTAAAATATGGGCTAGTGTAAAATACACAGTCATTCTAATGCAAAAACTATACATGTAGACATAAACTTTTGATTTAGCACACAGTATTCATTACATTTCTTTTAACGTAGAACCTACTTCGTATGACATCATAACTTGTAAATGTGTTAAACCTGTGCTAACCCATTAAGACGTCATAATTAATTCAATGCCACTTTTTCCCATACTTGACAGCTTCAATAAAAATGGTAGAAAATACTGCATTTTGAAATTCACAGAATTCAATCATGCCAACATAATCTTGATTCAATTCATATATTTTTTGGTTTATAATGCTTAATGGCAATATATTTCTGGAATAAGAGAAAATATGTAGGCACCTTTTATTTACTAGATCTAGACCTGAAGTTGACAAACCCAAGACTATCTAGTGTAATGAAATTACAATGTACATACAACTTTCGTAATAATTTGAATGGTATGTAACCATTTTGAAGGAATGTATAAATCGTAAGAAATCTTTAGTTGCCAGCTACATGTATATAGCGTAATATCTTGATGAAATGTGTCTAAGTCAAAGATGCACGTGTTGTAGATCGTTTGATCGTGTGTACTTTTTTGTGATATCTATAATGATATTATGTGCATTTCTTTTCATAATTATGTTTCTTATTTACACTCTTGGTGTTTGATTACAATTTTTCTATTAAATATGATCTTTTTAAAGAAAAAGTACAATTTCTGAAAAAGTACAATTTCTGATAAATATTTAATCTGAAAGTAACCCCAAACAGTCATTTAATTATTAAATCCCGTGTAAGTGCAAAAAGGTCAAGAAAATGAGTTGAAAGGTTTATATTTTAATCATTTTTTGTAATCATTTGGCTATGTTCTTCATCATATTGAAGATTGAAAACATTGTGACAAAGACGTCTAACAAATATTTACAAATATAGGGTGAATAATTGACTAAAAATAATTCATTTGACTATTTTTTTAATGGTGGACTTATCTTTTATGTTAATTGAATAAAAAAGAAATTATTCTTGATAAGATATTGTTTAATATTATTCAGTTAAAAAATTTTATAAACGACGATGTTTGAAGAAGTATTTTTGTGATTTTTCATATTCCCTTTATGACAAGTACCCCTAAAAATATTTGAAAATGTGAAATCGCAGTATGTGAATACCCTACCAAGTTTCACAGCCTGTTCTAGATTAAAAAACAAGGAAACATATCATGATATCTTAACTGATTGATAAGCAAGTACTAATTTATCATTTTGAAAAGTTTGAAAATCTTGCAATTGTGACAAAGTCTTTTCCGAAATAGGTTCTACCTTAATTCTTGTTTTACTCCACCCTTTTACTCAGTTCTAAGTATATTTTTCAGAGAATTTAATATGAAAATCAGAACAAACATTTTCATTGTTGTAACGTCTTCTTTATAATGTATATTAATATGAAAAGTTAATTGAAGACCATTTCTTTTTATGTCCCCGTAGTCGAAGATTCGGGGGTATATAGTTTTATCGTGTTCGTCTGTATGTCCGTCTGTCTATCTGGCGGTTTGTTTGTCCGCAAAAACCTTAACCTTGACCATAATTTTTCATATATTGGAGCTATGACTTTCATATTTAATATGTATATTCCTTGTGACAAGACCTTACTTTGGGTACCACCAAATTTGACCTTTTGACCTTGACCTTGGAGTTTATCCCATTTTACACAAAAATGCCAAATTTTTACTTTGGCCATAACTTTTGAACGGTAGATACTAGTTTTCCGTACTTATGATTTTTTTTTTACCTTGGCCATAACCTTTGAACGGTAAGGGCTAGGGTATTCATACTTCACATATGTAATCCTTGTTACATTTAAACATTTTCTTAAGAAATCATCAACTTTGACCTTTGAGTTTGACCTACCTTTCAAAAACTTATCCTTAGCTATTACTTTTGAACAAGTGGTGCTAGGGCTTTCCTATTTTGCAGTTGTATTTCATGTGAGAAGACCCTACTTTGGGTAACAATATATTTAAATTGCATTTAAGAAAAGTTTAATCTTCGCTATGTTGCCATACAGGGGCATAGCTGTTTCACAAACACATCTTTTTATATATGAGGATTTGCGGATAAGAGATGGATACCTCAAAGCGTAACAGACGGACGGACATCTAAATCACTATATACCCTCCCGCTTTTCAAGCGGAGGATATAATAATATATAATACTGTTGATTTTTTCTGTCAGTTCGATAATTTCCACCATCAAAAAACAATGTTTACCTAACCCTTAAGGCTTGATGAATCTTTTACTCCTTTAGATTCTGAATCATTGCATTTACCTTAAAATATAGCTATAATTGTATAATGTTATGAGATCAACATATCATCAGTTTATTCCCAATAAGCTCAGGTGAGCATTTTGGCCAATATGTTTCTTTATCCATTTTTTTTTTGCCCCCTAAAAATTTTAGCTTTAATCTACAGGGGGTCATTTTTCTACGGGGGTCATTTTTCTTCACGTGGGTTCTGCAAATTTTTAAGGAAGTGACACTTTTTCTACGGGCAAAAGGGTCATTTTTTCTCGAATAATGACCGGGGGTCGAATAATGACCCCCGGTCATTATTCGATGGGGGTCATTATTCGTCTTTACACCGGCAAATAGCGTTTCTGTGCACAGACTGGTCTAAATTCTACAGAGCATATATCTTGGACGACATATCGCCTAAAATACAATATAGCCGTTGAGATTAAAAGCAAATATTTTATGAAGTCATGTTTTATTTATCTACTCTCAATTGCTTTTAAAATAAAATTTTTCTAAGATTCTTCTTTAACCCCTGTCACGGGGCCCGTGTATACAAGGTGGCTACATGAAAGTGTTTGACGCGTGACCAGGCAATCGTTTTCAAAGGACACAAACTCAGACTATCAGGTAACACGGATAACTGGCCTGACAATCAAATCAGAAGCTATTGTTTTTTTTAATGATTGACAGGCAGTAAATTATTGATCTTGAATCAGGTAGATTTTGGGGGCGTTAACATAAAATTGGGTGTTTAAATATAGGCATACCACTTAAGTTTTAGTAAAGTCTGTATTTAACATGTTCAAGAAGGTTTAATATTATTTAAGGTTTTGCCAAAGGTCAATAAGTACTCAATGCTAATTTTATAACAGCTTCAGATTTATGTGGTTTCTGAAGTTAAAACTTTTACATTTTATAAATATATCATTGATTAACAGATTAAAAAGTATCACGTGGTTAAAAATACTTAAAAATATTGATTCGAAAAAAATATTTTTTCAAAACTGCGTTTACTAAAAAAAAACCTAATTCATTCCGTACTTTTAGTGAAAGGCATAATTGCAGAAAAATATATGTTGATCAATAAATTGCAAGTTGGAATTCTATAGAATCTGGAAAGCGGTTTACCATTTAAATATTTGTTTTTAAGAGATACTTTTTATCTTTTACCTCACATACTTATGGAGCTACGCGTATTGCAAAAAATTAATTTTTGGACATTTTGACCTTTGGCAATAACCTAAAACGAAACGATCAATTCATTTCGATAGTTACGGCAAAGGTGGTCAGTCTGTTTAAGTGAACAATTTAATTGATACCATTTAGGGGGAAAATGTGTGAAAGTTTTGCAGTAAATTGCTAATAAGAGTAATTATCAATTATAACGTATCATTAGAAAACATCTATTTAAGGAATAACTGTCTTATTTTTCGAATTCATGAAGTGATCAATGGATTGGCTTGTGTGATAATTTGCATAAACGCCGAAGTAGGATTAAAAAGATTAATTATTGTATTAATGATGCGAACGTCTTTATACGTTTCATTGATGGAACAGCCACTGATTAAGAAATCTGTACAGACGAGCTGCCTACTGTAGTTTATGCAGTGATGAACGCAATGGGGTTTCTTAAGAAATAAAGGAGAAAATATTCAGTGGATGTAAATATATAGATGTAAACACTGTTTTATATAGCATCAAACTACAAGAAAACAACAAAATATCCATTTATTCTTTTACATTCTAAAAATCCATGAAAAATAATCGGGAAAAGAATAATTGTGTAATTCTATTCTCTTCCAATAAAAACTTTAGAATTTTCCACCTGGCGTGCACTTTTGGCTCAGAATACGGGAGAAAGGACACGTGAAGCTGCACGTCGGCGGATCCAAGAAGCCGTAGAAAGGTACGACAGAATCCATACCTGTTTGTTTGGAAACTATTCTTTCGAACTCATGCCTCGACCAACTCCAGAAGTTATGCGACAAATTCAAGGAACTGTACAGGATTTTTTAGAACGGCATGATCTGATGTTATTAGCACCTTATTTCCGTACATATCTAACAGCAGATGGGTATGGGTTTATCAATGATACTGCAGCTATATACGGTATGGCTTGGGTGCCACCGGCAGTTATCCAAGGCACATTTACACCTGAAAACGGGTTTTGGATTTTAGATGGAGCATTTCAAGCCATTGTAATCGAGACTGCCAAACAAAATCAATTGAATGTACATCTGGAAGCTAATGTCGAAAGGATTAAAAGACTGCCCGGTCCTGGGGGAATTCAAATAACGTACTCAACCAGAGACCACCCAAGTGTTGAGACGGAACATTTCGATTTCTTGGTCTTATCCCCAGCGATGAATTCTTTGCTAAACATTGTGGATTTCAACGCAAAGGAAAGACATTTATTTAGCAGACTGTATAATTCAAACTTCGTAACGACACTGATCGAATCTGACAATGGCATTCGAGGTAACGATCCACAAGTTTATTACAACGATGCCGTTGATCAAGACGACTATCCCGTATTCGCATCATTTAATTTTTACCATGCAAAGAACAACATCACCGGGGAAAACCATCGCCTTGGGATTCGGGAAAACGGTCCTGATAAGAACCCGCAGGAAACTCAATTGTATTATCAAACTGGCTTTGCAGATCCTTTTGCAAAGGATGTTGATATTATGATCCAGTCCAAGTTAGTTTCACATTTAAAAAAATTTAGAAAAAGTAATCCAAGAGTTTTGGAACAAACAAAATGGGGATATTATTTCCCAAGGTTTTCCGGAGAAGATATCGCGCGAGGATATATTTGGGATGTATTAGATATGCAGGGTCAGTTCAATACCTGGTACATCGGTTCTTCTGTCTGCTTTGAAAGTATGGAGAGTGTGCTAGAATATAATAATCTGTTAATGAGTATATTTCATTGATTAAAAAAATAATTTACTTTTAGCAGAATAATTATCAGTGTACTGTGCACAATTTCATCTGAGTTCAAGAATAAACTACTGCAGTATAAAGAAGATGATACCTTTTTTATCAATTGCAAATTCTCTCAAGAAAAACAGTTAAGGCAAAAAACTGTTTAAAATGCCTCTATTTCATACTAACAGTTCATAAAATTTAAAATACATCGTACACAGCAAAATAATCTTACTATGAAATATATGGAGATTACGAAAAGTATTTTAGATCAGAAGAACATAAAAAATACCTAGTAGGAGTAGAGCAAACACGGGCCTCCAAAACATCAGAGGTTGGATCAGGTGCCATCGAGGAGTGAGTATCCCCTGGCGACCAGTCACACCCGCCGTGTGCTCATTTTTCTCATCGGAAAACAACGGAACAATCTGTCATCAATTCAGTGTATGTATAATGGTATAACAATTTGTATTAAAAACGTCAGTCACCTTTTAAGTCAATTATCAATTATATTTGCTGACAAGGTCATTGTATCGACCACAAAACCTACGAAATGATGACTTTAAACGAGACTGCCGATATTCTTGATTCATTAACTTGTTTGTCAATGATTTACTTCTGCATATAGGTGATGAAGGTACGAGGGGTGATCAAAAGGTTTGCGAACTATCTCTATCAACCCTACTAATGTGTTCGGAACCTTTTATTTTTCGGTGTTCTACAAATTATAAAACCCGATGAGTTCAGAGTAGTTCTGGCAAAGGCTCTGGCGAGAGTTCACGAGACTACAACTAGATAGGGTAAATTATTCACGGAAATGTGGCTAGGAAGTGACTAGCACGTGGAGACATGGTGAACAGAAAACTTATGTTGCGGTTTAGTTTTTACCACCCTATAATATCATTCTGTAGAAATGTATGTGAACTGATCTCTTTTGAATCATTCAAATTTAAATTATAAGTATTATCTATGATATAATTTTCTGATATCATGAATTAAAAATTTCTTTTTTGACAAATGTTTTTGCATGGGAACCGGAACTACATTTTTTGGCCTCAGATTAGCAAATGAGGCACCAATGTGACTTTAACTGACCAATCAGCTGAATGAGAATTGCATCATGGGTTACTACGAATACTAAAGGAATTTTACGCTAGATAAATTCCTTTATTGTACAATTGGTGAATACAATTGTCAGGTGGATTCTCGGGCCAAAATACGTGACCACGAGTATAGTTATGTAAAAATATTTTGTTCATTTAAATGCATACGAGAAGCTGCTCGTTTTCCTTACCCTTGAAGTGCTGGTGTTCTGAACTTGACACTAACTACATATAGATTTTATTAAACATATTTTTTCTAGTTAACAACAAATTAAAAACGCCCGTGACATCTTTCATAGTTTCTAATCTTTGCATTTTGTTTATAAGAACATTTTTTTATATTTTGCACTCCATTGACATGATCATAGATTGACTTGAACGACGTGTTCGAAGTGAAATGTAAACATTCATTTGGCGTAAACGTATTCAATCAACAAATGGTCGGTTGCTCGTGGTTAGATCCTCTGTACGCATTAATAACAATAGGCATTTTTTTTACCAGCGTTTCGGTCGCTAGAAAGCTCTAATTTTTGCCGTAAACTATGATAAGATATATTTTTATCCCCCCCCCATAAGCCACCCTTTTTGTTGAAAATCATGAAAGTCTTTCAGAAAGGTCTGGAAACACATTTTTCACAGGACATGTTTTCAAAAGAATTAAACGGACTATAGCAATTTCCTCTTCACTGCCAGTTTTATTTATAAAACCAGTTTTACCCTATAACCTTTGAATAGGTAAACTTAAACCACGTGTCTTGAATTTAAATCACAATACAATAGTAGGGGTGTTTATATTTCCAAACCACAATTCAGATCAGAATAAAGAAATGTACAGTTTTAGCTTTATTGCGCCCAAAAAGTTTTGTAACTGGCTCAAATATTAGTTATGAGTTAATGACTAAGGCCACACCAATAAAATTTCTTGTTCGTCGGACCAGCGCGCTCGTATTTAAACAGAACTATACAGATTATATTAATTTAAATTTCCCGCATCATAAGAATTTTGTGCTATTTTCTGTTCAATTTCCGCTCTATCTATCGTATTTTTAATCTGCAAATCAGAAAAAAATAATTGTCCGTTCAAATTTTTTCACGCTACGCCTAAAAAATTGTCTACAAAAAGTAATAATATTATTATTTAACCGCTAGCCCGCTCGTACTTTTTTTTCCTCAAATGTCAGACGAACAAGAAATTAAATTTGTGCGGCCTAAGATAGATCAGGGAAGAATATGACATAAAGGGATTACCCTTTCGGAAATATGACGTCATTGATTTGATACAGTTCTCTATATTTGATAGAAATGCCTCAAATTGTATATATATCTCAAAATCTTTGTAGGCGATGCCTGTGGACACTATTACCACTGAAAATCGGTGTCTTCTGCAATGAAGGATATGGAGATAACGAACAGTATTCAATATCAAATTCCATAAAACAATACAAAAGGGAGCAGAGCAAACAAGGACCTCTAAAACATCAGAGGTGGGATCAGGTGGCATTGAGGAGTGACCATCCCCTGCCTTATGGTCACACCTTTTAAGAAAATACCGGAAAATGCACATGTTTATGACGTCACAATTAGCATAACGGAATGCATATGAGAAAAATGATTTTGCATGATTTTTCTGCATGGAATTTCAATGATTCAGAAAACATAAGTTTTTATTTTTTACATCAGTTTCAAGAAAATCACAAGGTTATATTTGTATTGAAACTGTACTTTGTTCTTTGGCACACGACGTAGAGTTATATAAATGTTCTATAAACAGCATATGTAATAAAACATTTGCCTCATGTTTGTGACGTCAAAATGAGAAAATGACGTCAATATGCAGATCATTTGTGACAAAAATGGTTGACTCAGTCGTTTTCGAGATACGAACGGCTGTAAAGTTAAACGTACATCTTGGGAATTCCTTTCCAGAAGCATATAATATTTTGTACATGTACATGGTTTATAAAGGCAAAAGACTTGCCAGAAGTTTTGTCATTAATTGGATTGATTGCTTCAGTGAAGAAAGGGAGATATTTAAAAATGATGTTTTTTTTTCTGTTGCCCAGTGAAAGCAAGCTGGGGAAGAGGCGTGTCCTTTGTTAAGCAATTTGATATAAAAGATCGCCAACTTACAGTTAGAGAAGATCGTTTAATTTAGATTTTCAACATATCAGATATAATAAAAAGAAGGCACCCATACTTTATCCACATTGAATAAACGACGCTCCAAAGACAGGGACTTGGGTTGTGAGGGTCACATTGTTCAATTTGGAGAAGGATTTTATCCACCCATACTATTGCTGAAATTTGTCAATTTCTGACAAATTGACTGTTTTGCTTGTAAAAAAAAAAATAACTTGCATGGTAAGAAATATGAAAGTCGCAAAAATCTTTAAGCTTTTGTGACAAAACCCAAGGAGAATGTCACGTGACCGCTTATATCACCTGATCCGCGCATGGGCAAACAGTTTCAGATGCGCATTAAAATCGGAGAGGACTACTGAAAAAAAGAAAACAAAAAAAAAACAAAACTGAAAGCCTATATCATTTCTTTTTTTTGAAGTTATTCAATTCGTTTGCGAACTTTTTGATCACCCTCGTATATTGCTGCATAAGTAAGGGAAGTTGACGATAGGAAAGTTGAAGTAATTATATAATCATGTTTATCATAGAGCTTGGTTGTTAGATTACCATTAACGTTTTTCAATTAAGATATCAAAATATGAAACAAATAAGTATCAGACTTTGTGGTATCTTTTATCTCAAGCACACCAGGATATGCTAGTATTGTAATGACACAAGAATGGACTTTACCATTGTTCATGGACAATACGTCGTCGATATATCTTAATGTCGAGTTGAAGGCCACAGCAAGTGTTTTCTTCTTTTCACACATATGATTTTGCACAAAGTCTGCTTGATATGAATACAGAAATAGGTCTGCTAATAACGAGGCGAAAATGCTAGATACCCATGAGATTTCCAAAAGATTGCTTGAAGACCTGGTCTCCAAAAACTACATAGATATTGTCAATCAGAAACTCAAGCATCTTTTTGATATCAACTTCAGAGTATTGTGTGTACAATCAGATAAATACTCTGACATAATAAATAAGAAAAATATGACATTATATGCACGTCATGATATGCACAAACACTATAATGCAGCGCACCAAATTATATCTCAGTGTTGTGTGGAGCGGGGTATGACCCCTGTTCATACGAAAAAAGAGCTGGGAACCGGGGAACGACACAGATGCATCAAAAACTAGTTAATACAGAGTAAAAGAGTTTCAAAGATTGATGGACTTGTTATACTATGGAAGAAGCGTTTACCAGACTTACAAAAATGACAACTTAAATGTTTAGAGCTGGACGTCGTAAGTTGAGATAACCGCTTACTACGAGGGAAGTAATTCTTAATATGGGAATATTGTATATTCAGAGAAATAATTAACACCTCAATTTATTTTTAACCGTAGAATTTGTGAAATGGATAACTCTAAAACTAAAAGAAAATTAAATGCTGTATCGAATTTATGCTTCGAACATTTTTATGAAGTAATAAATCTGCCGAAGCTTATGATAATCACAACAAAATCATAGAAATATTTTAAATTGTGGGAAATTCTTATTCTTCGATCAGAATTATATATGCATACTTATTATAAAGATAATAGTGACATTGGGTCACAATGTAAATACTTTGACTAGCTAATTCATATAAAATCATTTGATCCTAACTTTTATTTCAGTAGGGGATGTAGCATCACAATTGAAATGATGATCATTACTGAAATAATTATATCACTACTGGTTTTGGATTTAAAATGCAAATTCCAACACTATTGAACAATCATTGGAATTCTGAACGTTATTCATTAGTGGTTTCAACTTGTGTTTGGTATTGGGTATTGAATGCACTTTCAATTGCTATGGAAACAAATATTTCAATAGTAAACGTTACTTTAATAGTGGTTGCACCCTGTGTTGGCTCTTGGAATGCACTTTCAACCACTATTGAAATAATTATTCATATAGCGGGAACGTTATTTCAATAATAGTTACAGCCTGTGTTCGATTTTGAAATACACACTGAAGCACTATTATTTCGATAATGAGCATTATTTCAATAGTGATTACAATAGACGTCACCATAGGACAATTTTCTAATGTAGAACTTTTTTCGACACACGGGGCCATATCAAGCAGTGATAATATTTTTTATATTGCCAACACCTACCAAAATGCGTGAGGTCTCGGTTTTTCAGGTTTATTTGGCCTTCAACTTTCACTTCAAAGTGCTGACCGCTGAGCAAAGAAGTAGTTCGCAATACATTTTTTATGGACTTAATTGGGTCACCGTGGTCACTGGTTACATGTGTATAAACCCCACGACCTGCCAATTATGGACCAAGCTTTCTATCGACTTCATGAGGTATTTTGCCGGTATTTTCAGTATTTTCACCTTTGCTACCCTTAAAACATCTTACAAGTGTATATCATGCACTTCATTCAACGTCCCACTCCAGCATTGTGTTACCATCGGGGGCAAAGTGTTTCACAAAAACATTTTGTTTTCTGAAAAATAATGTGCAGAAGACATACGTTTTCTCTGATAGATTCTTTCAGACAATATTCTAGACCACCTGCATTGCAACATAATGATTTTTTTTAAAAAACATACAAACAAGAGAAAATATATTTTATATTTAATCAGTATATTACCTAGATAATCAGTATTTGCTCACCTGTCATTTTTCACCAACTTTTGAATGAAATCAATGATGAGTAAATCAACATTTAAGAATGTGTGCAAAACTTCCAACCTGTATTTATCAAGCATTTTAGTTCTTTGGAAAAGATAATTTTATCCCAAACAACCCCTGTGGAATAAAGCCAGTTATGCATAGAATCATAAAGAACCATCTATGTCATGAGTAATATACCAATCATGATTGACAATGCTTAATATGAATTATATATTCATATATATAGAAACGCGTCTTGCTATCGGGGGAATTGCAGATAATTGCATTTAACAGATCGTTTCAGAGAATTATACATTTCTATTTATAATAAATATGTTGGAGTTTTTCATAGTTTTGGCAGCTGGACTTTCAGTGAGAGTTAACGGATACATGGAGACGTTCCAAAGGCCCTTTCAATGTAATGCCAACATGGTGAGTAGAGATTTCAAACAGAATGCTTTTGGACAAATGTTTACAGTATTTATACTTTCTGACTAGCCACGAAGACTTGGACATTTCTTTTTTATTTGGTTTGGAGCTTAACTAAATTATTGTTTTAAACCATTCGTATAAATGAAAAGGTAGGGATATTGGAAGATATTCTTGAACTTTAAAAAAAATGTATTTTTATTGAGAAGACGTCAATCTACAAAAAAATCCATTAAAATTCCTTATGTCGCTTTTCCTTAAGGAGGTTCGATCCTATGCTTTTGAGCAGATTTCTGTCCGGACCTTTTCTTATGACATTTTACAGCAGTTCAAAGTTTTATCTCTTAATCTGGATTCAATAATACAAACTGATCTAGGTTAAATAAAAAACCGCGATTTAATTTCATTCAAGTAGGATTAAGCTAAAAACTATATTTTTTGGTGGAAGAGATTTTTTTTTACGAAGAAAATATTCAAATTTGATCTAGATACATGTAGTTACAGCACTGTTAATTTTAGATTCCTTTTTTTTCCATGCTGGTTGCAGAGAAAGCTGTACTTTGCAGAGAGTTGTGTTATCCTGGTTTTGAAATATCTATAAAATGATTTCGTACGAGAAAGTCCAAGAAAAATTGAGCCTATTTAAACATAAAATTGACATCGTTTGAGTAATATCTTTAAAAAATGCATCATATACCCTCACTTTTGATGTTTATTTCTGATTATTTAAGATTATGTTGACTTATCTCCTTAAATTCAGCGAAAATGTAGGACTTAAAAATAATTTTCATGCTTAATGAATTTTCAATGTCAGAAAAATCACAGTTTGAGAGTACAAAAAGGTCATATAATTGATTATGCGAAGTACTAGTAATTGAAAAATGTTTCTTAATCACAATTTTAAAGTGTATTTTTAAATAGGTTTATAGTTTATTTTGTTGCATACCTTATTTTGAGATATTTTTATTTTTGTATTTAGAGACATACATATGTAGTTTAATATTTGATATGAACATAATTTAAAGTTTAAAAGAAGGATATGGAAATAACAAATAGAATTAAATCTCAAAGTCCATAAAACAATACAAAATAGGAGCAGAGCAAACATGGACCTCCAAAGCATCAGAGGTGGGATCAGGTGCCATGGAGGAGAGTGCTCCTTGTCATGATCGGGAAATAATGGAAAAATCCGTCGTCGATGCAGTGTATAAATACTGGACTAAAAATTAGTATGAAAAACGTCAGTCAGCATTTGACTCAATGATAAATTGTATTTGCTGACAAGGTCATTGACACCGACTCATTTCAAAGAATTCAAGATAAAACCGTCGGAAAGACTATGACTTTTATTTTGCACAAGTGTATTCCTTGTGACAAGACTTTTCTTTGGGTACCACCACATTTGATCCCTTGACCTTGGAGTTTGATCTATTTTTACGAAAAATAACATTGGCAATAATTTTTGATAGTTGGAGCTAGGGTTTTCATACTTGTCAGCAAATACAATTCATCATTGAGTCAATTGCTGGTTTGTACGAAGTGTTAGTTCATTTATTTTTTATACACTGAATTGACGAGGGATTTATGCATTATTTCCCGATCATGACGAGGAGCACACAGCGGGTGTGACCGGTTGGCAGGGGATTTAGACCTTGACCTAATACTTTGACCCACTTTTTAAAAACTTTATATTTGGTCTTAACTATTGAATTGTTAGAGCTAAGGCTTTCATATTTCACAGTTGTATTCCTTGTAACAAAACCTTTCTTTGGTACAAACACTTTTGACCTTTTGATCCTGACCTTTTGAGTTTGACATGCATTTGAAAGAATTCAACCCTCGCCTTAAGCTTCCATACGGGAGCAACAGTATTTCATAAATACATTTAGTATTTTCATCATTTTTGACCAAAATACGTTCTACTTTTGATTCATAGTAAAACAATCTATTACAATATACTCAGTATATTTATTGTCGGTATTTCAACTTTTAGTTCCGAAAAGTAACTTAAGTTACAAATCTAAAGTTTATTTAAGTACTCTTTAAACATCAACTTCTTTTACATTACCCCAGAACCATTTTTCAAGTTTTTTTTTCAAATGCACTGATATGTTCTATTTCCAGTAGTGAACTCTTCAAAATTAGAAGTTTGTTTTGGTCGTCTGACTGGGACAGCATGGCGTTGTGTTTGTTACAAAACATACCAGTCTAAATGTTTAATGTTAAATGCATTTATCATTTCAATCAAAGAATAGAAGAACTAAAAGACATGTGTTAAAGAGCGAGAACCCTAAAATTACCATTTATTAATAAGAAAAAAAGTACATTTTCAATGGAATTGTATTTCGGTATACATGTACCATACAAAAAATAGAGAATACGATTAACAATAGATATAAATTATCGTTACCATTCCTACGACAATAAAATATTTCATTTGCATTTTGTTAGGATTTGTTCATCGACATTCAGCATATTGATTGCATAAATTATATATGTTACGTTTGTCCCAGAAATCCCATAAGATCTGCTTTTTCTCAAAATGGCACAAAAAGAAGTTAATCTCTTCAAAAGTGGAAATGGAACGTGCATATTTTTCCAGTTTTAAATTTTCATTGCCTCAGATGAAAACAACAGGATATCCAGCGATATCAGGTCCTAAATCTGTTAATGATCGGATTGCTGTTGTCGGAGGTGGGATAAGCGGTGTGCATATGGCTTCTCTACTAAAGGTTAGTGGATAGAGATGTATCATATTTAATGAATACTTTTGAATTAAATCATGTAAATCAAAGATAACATTTTAATTTTCAAAGATGAAAAATCTTTGCAGGAAAGAGGTTTCAAAAACATCGAAATTTTTGAACAGCGAAACGAACTTGGAGGAAAAGCAAAATCCCGATTTTACAGGGGCGTATACAATGAGTTTGGAACAAACTATATGTCCGATATCTACGATCAGACACTCAGATTGGTGCAGAGATATACTCCTCAGTTCAGGATAAAATCCAAAAATAAGTCCTCCGTAATGGTCAGGGATTTCGGTCAGTCATATCAAGAAAACTTAAGTATATATATTAACATTTTGTAAATTTTTATCCTTAATATAATTTTTTTTTCTTAAACTCAGTAATTAAGGGGGCCGACTATAGTTTTATTGTGTGAAAACTACAATAGGAAAATCTTCATTTTATACCATATATAACTTACATTATTTTCAGTGTACATGCAAAGTTTGGTGGAAATCTACCGTCCTGGTATTTTTTAGGGACCGTCTCAAAATTCAGGTACATTTACTATAGGATTAAATGATATAGGAAAATGCAAATTTTTAACACTTTAAAGCAAATTATACAAATACTACAATAGACATTTTGTTCAAACTATAATATTTGATGAGTAATACTATATTATACAATTTATGTAAGAAACACAAAATTCTACCGTCTTGTTACCAGAGGGAGCATCTCAAAATGAAAAATTAGCAAATTTTACTATTTTTATAGAGTATTACAGAATATGACGTACAAAATGGATTCACATGAAAACATAATAAAAATATTGGAGATATTCTAAAATTTCTATGTTTTAAATTTCAAGAGGTTATGTTTATTACTTTTTCTTTAATAATATTTTTATTACCCCTTTCTTTAAGAGCTACAGATTATCATAACGTCAAAAACACACTGCAACGACGTCAACCTACCTATCAATTGCAAAATCGGTTAAAAAATCAGTTATATCAAATTGTAATTACATTTTTATACCTATAATTTTTTAATTTTGTTTAATTTTAATAATTAAGCGAAAAAAGTTGCATTAAAACAGTAAATACGCTTCATTTTACTATGATGCGCGAAATATTGCGCAATGGAAAGTATAGTCGACCCCCTTAAGACGGAACGAGGAACTTCAATTGTGGTAGGTATGTTCAACATTCAACTTATACCATTGAGTTTTAATAAGGTGTGTATAGAAAAAGCTTTTAAATGTTTATATCAATAATAAGGTATTATTTTAAAACATACATATAGTACATGTATATATGTATGAAATACTTGATCAAACTTCAAGAAATTCCTTTAGGCTTTATGAGATTTATTCACATGACAAAACTGTATAAACATGATTCCGGTAAAGATAATTTCTCCAATATAAACTTTAGAATTTTCAACTTGGAGCGAACTGTTGGCTCAGAACACGGGAGAAAGGTCACCTGAGGTTGCACGTCGGCGGATCCAAGAAGCAGTGGGAAAGTACGACAGAATCCATCGCTGTTTGTTTGGAAACTATTCCTTCGAACTCATGCCTCGACCAACTCCACAAGTTCTCCGACAAATTCAAGGAACTGTCCAGGATTTCTTAGAACGGCAAGATCTGATGGTAATAGCCCCTATTTTCAGAACATTTCTAACTGCAAATGGGTATGGATTTATCAACGATACTGCAGCAATATACGCTTTGGCTTGGGTACCACCGGAAGTAATCAAGGGCGTATTTACACCTGAAAACGGATTCTGGATTTTAGAGGGGGCATTTCAATCCATTGTTACCGAGATTGCCAAACAAAATAAATTGAATGTACATCTTGGAGCTAATGTTGACAGGATTAAAAGATTGCCCGGTCCTGGAGGAATTCAAATAACGTACTCAACCAGAGACCACCCAAGTGTTAAGACGGAACATTTCGATTTCTTGGTCTTATCTCCAGCGATGAATTCTTTGCTAAACATTGTGGATTTCAACGCAAAGGAAAGACATTTATTTAGCAGACTGTATAATGGAAACTTCCTTACAACACTGATCGAATCAGACAATGGCATTCGCGGGAACGATCCACAGGTTTATTACAACAATGCCCTTGAGCAAATCAACTATCCAGTATACGCAACATTTAATTTTTACCAAGCAAAGAACAACATCACCGAGGAAGCCCATCGACTTGGAATTCGAGAAAACGGCCCTGATAAGAACCCGCAGGAAACTCAAATGTATTATCAGGTTGGCATCGAAAATCCTTGGGCAAAGGATATTGATATTACGATCCAATCCAATTTAGTTTCATTCTTAAAAAAATTTAGAAAAAGTAATCCAAGAGTTTTGGAACAAACAAAATGGGGATATTATTTCCCCAGGTTTTCCGGAGAAGATACCGTGCGTGGATATCTTTGGGATATAATAGATATGCAGGGTCAGTTCAATACTTGGTACATCGGCTCCTCTGTCTGCTTTGAAAGTATGGAGAGTGTTATCGAATATAATAATCTGTTAATGAGTAAATATCATCGATAAAAAATAATTTACTTATAGCAGGATAATTTATTATTTTACTGCGCGCCATTTCATCTGGTTGCAAGAATAAAAAATAATGAAAATGATATATTTCTAATAAATTGCAAATTATACCAGGGAAAACTGTTAAGGCAATAAACTGTTAAAAATGCTTCCGTTTTATACTAGCTACAGCATATATTTATTGTCATTTAATAAATGACAATTCTCATTCAATATACATTGTTTTGTTATATTTCAACTACTGCGGTAGCCTAGCCAGATCACTAGGATTACATAAAGCACATTTCATAAATTTAAAATACATCTTGCACAATAGAATATTCTTAACATATATCAATATACCAACCAAGCTTTCCTCTATTTAAAAAAAGAAAAACAGTTTGATGCTTTACTCTACAGGACTTAATGTATGGTTATATAAAATGCCCCGGTTAATATCCTCTATTTTTGGGAAGAATTTATAAGGAGGATTGATTCTGAGCCTTTGAACAGATTTTAGTCAGAAACTATATTTCTAAAGTTCTGTATCATATTTACTATTTTCAATATTTTTATTAATTTACAATGCAAAGTAAGCCAAAGTCAATTACGAAAAACTGTAATTATTTCCCATTAATAATGTTGTACGTCTGACATGAAAGAACAAATTGTATAATTAATCAAAAACAAAATTATTTATGAAAATGAACAAAAAATAATACATGCAATACAGTCTGTAATACTCTCTCTCCTTTGATCCTTTCATACCATATCCATTCTCGAAAGCTCCGTGGGGATCCGGGTTAGAATAGGTCCACAGTACCCCCTTGCTTGTCGTAAAAGGCGACTAAATGGGGCGGTCCTTCGGATGAGACCGTATAAACCGAGGCCCCGTGTCAGAGCAGGTGTGGCACGAAAAAAGATCCCTCCCTGCTCAAAGGCCGTAAGTGCCGAGCATAGGCCTAAATTTGCAGCCCTTCACCGGCAATGGTGACGTCTCCATATCAGTGAAATATTCTGGAGAGGGACGTTAAACAGTATACAATCAATCAATCAATCTATTCTCGAAATAAAATGAAACGGTAATTAACTTTACAAATATCTGATACGTGTACTAATTCTTTAAATAAAAGTTCTCTTTTGTCTCAAATTGCATACCAGGTTTAAGATTTGCAAACAGCTATTCTCTATTAGAGATTAGAAAAAAAATTCTTACTTTCCTGTATTGGAAGAAATACATATTTATTTTTTGTCCTTCCAAGTGCTGTATAGCAAACGTCCATATATACATTGGTGACAATTCATTATACTGAACAGCAACTAAGTGACCGGCTCTATTTATAGAGGCCCGAATATACATGTATATAGCAAAAGATCGAACAAATATGGCCCACGACTTGTTCTTTTTACCAATCGTGTTCAGCTTTAACTAAATGTAAATTTATGTAAATAAAGTTACATATGGTAAACCCAACATTAACGAACATACATACAATATTGACAAAATGGAAAACAAAACAATTAAAGGCCCTTCAACTGCAACTAGTGTTCGATGTTATGAACGATAACTCATTGCTGGAACTTGTAAAGAGGAGGTCCGTGGTATCTAACTGTTTATACGTAAGTCAGTATTTTTCGGAAATGGATTTAAATTCGCTTATTCAAAGTGCTGTATCAAAAATTCCTTTAAAGAGTGGAAAATATTAATGGTACGTTGAGGAAGGTTTAAACTGGGATTTTTTTTCATGCATTTTTCAGTATTTTGCTATTTTATAGCAACTTAATTTCCTTGTGTTTGCTTTCCATGAATTTTTTTCCTAACATTTTAATCGGGGGTTTCCGGACATACATGTATTTAACCTTAATTTCACTCTTCGTTTTTTAAATACCATCCGATTTTGTTATCAATGCTGTCTGATAATATATTATCAGACTGGTAATTATTATTATCGGACGGCTACAGGTAAATTTTTAGACTGCAAGAACAAAGGCATGACGTCACAGCAATGTTTTAAAAGATATGGACACTGTGACATTACTTTTGGATCAACCCTCGTACATGTATATTGCTACAAGAAATATATATACTCATGAAAACAATCCTGAATCTGAACCGAATATTCTACTCAGCTGAGTCTCTATGTTATGCCTTGCGTTGTTGTCAGTGCAAAAGAGACAAAAAGATCAAACGATTTTATCAAACGACAGAGGATAAAAAAAGGCAAAATATTTTCGGAAAGACAATGGGTTCTTTTTCTGGACGGAAAATTACACAACACATATATTGAGCTTAGAAATCAAATACAATGCCACTTAGGGTGCATATTGTTGTAAATTTTAACTTCAATTGTAGCTTATGAATCCATTCAATGTTTCGAAAGATTATTGTTAATCACTGCAAAAAATCAAATTGTAGACATTTCTTCATTAATTTCTTCAACAAGAATATATATCCGTTCTGTGAAATGAGTAGATTTTCAGTCGCTCATATGAAAGCACTGGGCATAACTAAGTGTCATATGATTCTAACCGATATGGTAAAATATTTACATTCCCTGTGTTTTTCTTCTAAGCCAACTGTAAAATTGATTTAAAAACCATTTTTGTGTATACTCACACGTAGAAATATATTTGGAGAAACGTGCGTTAACGTGACGTCACAATAAGGCTGCAGCGACGTTAGTAAAAATGTAACGATATGGAACAGAGAGAAATTCAAAAACTGAGTATATTTTAGTTGCTCCCAAACTTGTAAAATGTAAATATAAGGAATGTTGTTAAAGTTTCTGTGAATTATTGGTGTATGTATTACACAGACTTGCACGTAGGCATATTTTTCATGAAGCGCTAAGGGCGAAAGGGGCGAAAATAAAACGGGGCAAAACTTTTCCTGTATACAGTATTACTAATTTTGCCGATTGAAATGTTTTACTTCTGACATACCTTTAACACTTTGAAAATTCTTGTTCTTTAGGGAAGCTCTAAATACATGTACATGTACTAACAGAAACTGCTTTATGGACTTCGAGAAAAATATATCAGGCAGAAGTGTGCATTTTTCCTTTTTTTATTATTCATTTATAAAATAGGACAGCTGCTATATTTCTGCAGGAAAATTGTTCAGAGACAACGCACTATTTGTGAGCAGATATTGCTGCTGTTTAATTACATGGAAAAAAAATAAAAGAAAAAATTGAGTTAAGTTACTTATTCTTTGTCATATATAATGTTAGAAATATTTATATATATAATAAATTTTAAATAATTTTTACTCTTAATTCTAGGGACAGATCACTCTAACTGCATAAAACTACCCTATTAGCGGAGGTCTAATTATTGAATTAAACTTTATTTTTAATAAAATATTAATAAAAATTTTAACAGACCAAACAAACTTTAATGTATGGTTTATTTTATACAGCATACTGTTGAAGATAGTATTTGCTTGTTTGTAAACTGATAATGGGAAGGCGGTAACCTTTCTATGTTGAATCCTGTTGTGGCGTCTGCGATCTACTTAAAAACCCCATATTCTTATAACTTTGAGCATGCATTAAAAAATTATTCAATTTTACATTCATTTTTTATATAAAATCAAATCGACCAGAAAAAAAGAAAAATTTATTCAAAGAAGACGCAGTTCTTTTATTTAGAAAACAAAATTTTGAAATGTCTATCAAATATGAAAACATGTCATTTCTCAATACTTTGGTTTATTTTCCATTTTTGCATCTTCCTGTTTTTTAATATCTTCATCCGCTTTTTCAATATCTTCATCTGTATTTTGATTATACCAATCTTTTTTCCTATCCTCGTCAGTCTCTTTCCCGCCCTTTTCGTCTTTTCCTGTAATAAAGTTTAACATATCCAAAGTATCCTGTTTTCGATGAACTTTTGAAGGAACAATGTTTATTAAAATTGATTAACATAAGTCATTTTTTTTTATAAACAGAGAGATAATTGACTGATTAATTGCATCCCATCAAACATTATCATTCAAACACAGTGACGTCATCATATACGGTTTAAGACCTATGGTCTCTACTCAAGGCCATGAGCAGTGAAGGTTTTATCGTGTCTCCCGCTTATATCGTAAACGCCCTACTTCTATGCAATAAGAAAGTTGGAAAACGGAATTTTGCATCCATTTAAAAAATAATCAAAGAAGCAGATCCAATCTTGATAAATAAATATTTAAAAAAGTAAACAAGTAATAAGTGTTATACCTTAACATTGTACATATTGATATATATATAAAAAAAATTATATATATATATATATATATATATATATATATATATATATATATATATATATATATATATATATATATATATATATATATATATATATATTAATATTTCATATTATAATTATATTACTTTTACAGCAATATACCTTTTTGGAGGGTGTAACTTTACAGTATTCAATCCATATTCTCTGTCATCAGAACATTCGTGGAAAGGGTTACAACCTTTTTTTTTCGGGGTAGCTGGGGAATCAGCAGACAAATTTAGGACGATATCACTTGTCTAAGGAATGTAGGGAAAGCAAATGAATAGAATAATAAACATGGCATTAAAAATAATGGCTTCTTAAACATCTGCAAAAAATATATTGTTTCATTGTAAATACAGTTTTCAGCGAGCAAAATATGATATCTGTCTCTCATTGTAAGGGAAGATGACGCAAAAATATGTGTTGATGAAGTTTAATTCTTTACAACAGTTTAAATTAACAAATAAATTCAATTTTTGAAAATTAATTTAAAAAAATTGTGTTGTCAAATAACATTTCCCTTTATTGAATAATTAGTGATGGAAACAACATAAATTGATAACCAAGAAAAATGTGCTTAACTACAAATATGTTTTATTGTAATCTATATTATAATTTTTTAACGAAGATTTTTTTCTTAACATGTTTAAAACAGCATTAAGGTCAGACGACACGTCCCTAAATATATATGTTTTGTATCTCTTGGCATTATTTGTGGAAAGGGTTGCAGCCTCCCTTTG